GTATATACGTATACACACACATTTATTATTATATGTATATTATTATAATTATTTGTTTAATATATTAAGAACATAATCTGATAAAAAATATAGTGATCACACATGTATGTTGTGACATCATAATTTATATCACTGTGGGATGTCTTTCAAAATCACAAGACGTTATTACAGATGATCAATTAAGAATCAATACTTTCAAGGAAAATGTAGAGGCACTTATAATAAATATAGAATTATCTTTTCTAGTTAAGAAAATATAGGCATAATGTGGTTACGATTTTTTTTCTTTTGACTTGATATTAATTTTAATTTAAATATCTAATTATAAGTTTTTTCAATAACTTGGGACAATAAAAAAATAAAGACAACCAGTTCGCCGATCAAAAAATAAAAACTAATCCAAGAAAATAAAAAGGTAAAAGAAAGAGAAAGAAAGAAAAAAACAAACAAAAATAAATGTCAATAGTAACATCATAAAAATAAATACTTTATTGCTCAATTTTTATTTCTCAAAATAATATCGAATCATATCTTTATAGTAAATTAGCTTACTAATTAAATATATAAAAATATTTGAAATTTTTTCTTCAAAAAATAAAGATTAATTTTGATATAAAACTCAATTTAGTCATAAAATATTCTATATTATGAATATAAATATATAATAAATTTTATCTTATTTTATTCATTTCTTCAAGAGAATTTCATTCTCGTCTACGATATTATTATTTAATTCAAAATAAATACAAAAGCGTTACAAAAATCGGCCACTTAACAGATCATTAATCATGATTCATCGATGCTTTTTAACGCACCCGACTAATCACTTAGCCAGATATATAGAATGACTATAAAGTGTATTAAACCGTTAAGAGAGTAACATTATTTAGTCAGGCGACAAGAAAAATACATCAGCACGTTCGATCAAAGGATTGATGCAGAAATCTCGTCTCGCGATCGAGATGCAATACGGTCCATTAAATCTTACGAAAATTCGCCGCTTATTCGATACTCTCTTTTAAAAGCCTCTCACGCTTCTGCTGGCGATAACGGCAAGTGAGATGGACGAGCGCAGTTTTAATCGCATTTTGAGAAAGATAGAAAAAAGAGAGAAAGAGAAGAGGAAAAAATACAGGAAGAAGCAAAAGATCAATAGACTTGCAAAAATCCGCGAAATAAGATTGGCGTGCAAATTATTTGCATAAATTATCATTATTATTTACGTAGATTTAACTCCAGCCAAAAGTGAAGGCTCTCGTTGAAGGATAAGAGTCTTTCTTATAAGGATGGAACAATGAGATGGCGTCGATTTGTAGACAACGACACCATCACCACCATTACCATAATACATTCGACGTTCTCTATTCAATGATTTCGGAGAGCAGCGAGCGAGAGAAGTTGGTCCAGTCAATTAAAAAAATCTAGTTCTGCCAATGCCACGCCGAATTGCGACACGCGGAGGAAGATCGTTCGGGAGGAAGAGGAGAAGGATCACAGACTCCGGAGTATAAAAGGTCGAAATGTCTCCGGGCAGATGCTCAACTCATCGCCCTGACACCACACGGCTAACATGAAGCTCCTTCTGATTATATCCGTGGTAAGAGACCGCCTTACTTCCGTGATATCATTTCAACCCCGCGGTTGCGATTGAAGATGTTTTTTTTTTAAGTGTTTTGATTTTGCTAGTGACAATGACTAGCGCATTGTGATTAAATTAATTAAGTGAATTAGTTAAATTAAAATTTAATATTGTGTTTAGTAATAATTATTACAATATTTTGAGAGAGATATAGGAGAGAGAGAGAGAGAGAGAGAGAGAGAGAGAGAGAGAGAGCAGAAAGTAAAATTTTTTCACATATAATATAGTAAAAGTTCTAATATCTAAAAATTTCTTTTTCGAATAATATTTATAGAGTAGCTTAGTTTGTAACAATTATCATCATCATGACATTTCATCTTTAGGAAGTCAAACATTCTATCTCTCTATATATATGTTCTCTAATAAAATTAAGTATTGTAGTAATTATAAAATTTTATTAAATCCGTTTATTGAAAGGAATTTTTTCAAGACGCTAAAGATAAAATCATCATCGATTAAACGACACGTGGAAATTTGAATTCGATGGATTCTTGAGTCATTCATTAAAATGCATGGAACTTGAGTCGATGTCATAATATTCAAATTTAATTGCCGAGACCGGTGCAAAATTGCGTCAAGACTAAATAAATAAAGATGATCCAGTCCAGCTTGTCCGCAGCTGTGTAAAGCAATGTAATAAATAATATAACAAATTTAATAAATGTACTAACAATAAGTAATATGTAAAATAATATGGACGTCTCTATATGTCTGTTCTCTCTAAATTATATATTCCCTTCAATCTTTTGATTCGCTCTAAACATTATATACTCTTTTTCTCTTTAACCCATAATTTTTTTTTATTGATATACTAACTGTATGTTTTCAGATTTGCTTCGCGGCAGCTCTAGCAGCGCCGGCTGACAAGGAGAAGAGGGAAATCCTGCCGGGAGATCCGCGCTACGGAACCGACTACCACCATAATCACCATCATCATTATGAACACGAGAACGAAGTACAGATCTCGAAAGCCGCCGGCGGCTACGTAGGTTCTGTCACAGTTCCAGAAGAGACAGCAGACCAGTCGCCTCAAGTACAATCTCTGACGTCCTACGGACCGCCCAACTATAATCCCGGCAAACCTTTAGGCCCAGATTACTCCACGGCTAGCGACACTGTCCAAAATTCTGTCGTCCAGGTGCCGGCCACTTCTTACGGAGTACCCGACACTCAGGTAATTAAAAAATTTATCGAAGTTGTTTAATCGTGGATTAAATTACTTTAAATATAGTTTTAATAGAAGAGTACGAAGAATTCATAAATTGCAATCAATATCAGGTATAATATTGAAATAGATACAAATATTTATTAGTTATTTAGTTTATTATATATATATAATTAAAATTAAAAGAGATAATGCATTAAAAATATTATTATTCGAATTTTAGATAAAATTACGGGAATTAGAAAGATTTATTTTATGTATATTATACTGTATTAATTATATTATTCAAATTATACAAATTAAATTTGTCATATTACAATTATGTGAATTAAAATCCACTTTTAATCTATCATATAACTAACCGTATAACAATCATTAATAATCTCTTAATTATAAAATCCCTTTATTTTATTAATTACATTACATTTAATACAGAGAAAATTGATTAATAAGATTTAATTATTCAATACAGAGT